TCAAAACATATCCATCAATAATTCAGTTGACTTACTACTTTAATTTATAAGCTTTGACTTTGACTAGCCATTTCTTCTTTAGTTTAGATCTGATTTTATCAAATCTTTCACAATAGTTGAAGCCCTTTAAGTCAGCTTTTCAACTTCACCTTTCAATTATTAAATACCTTTCTACAATTCTTTGTATGTTTGAAAGAGTGACAGTAGGTACAAATTTTACATCTAGACTTTAAACAGCCATAACTCTCTTATCGCAGACTCAAAGTTTACAACCCTTGTATGAAAATTATATTTCTTCAAACCAGCTTTCCAACAACACCTTTTATTTTCTAAATTAATTGGCCTCCTTTTCCAACCTTAATGCCAATCTTCCAAAGCCAATATCTCCCCTTTTCACCATTGGATTGATCTCAAACTTTTTATATACATAGAAAAACAAGTCTACTATCTTCACCTTCAAATTTCACTCCAATCCAACAAGATGATTGTAAGAAATCTTAAAAACTCTCACTAGACCTAAAATTCTACTTTTTGAGACCTTGACCCACTTAAACCTCAATAGTCCTTAATTCAACTACGAAATTGAGCTAAGATTTACGACACATATTGAACACAACTATGACCATTAACTTACAAAGTTTCACTTATAAATCTGTTACAAAACTCTTGAAATTACTAGAAACATCAACCCTATTTTATTTCACAAAATCCAAGTCATCTAAAAACAATCTTGACTTTGTAAAGCTCTTACAAAGTCATTACAACTCAAAATTATGCAAAACCAATGCTCATAGAAAAAATATTTATTTTGCTATCGAATCCGACTCTTTGATCAACAAAAGAATCTTGGAGTCATCATCGAGACTTAGTTTTGTACCTCAAGGTCTGATTTGAATCTTGATTCATAACTGGCCCTCTTTGGGTATCAATATCTAATTTTTCTATGTAATTTTTTCTAGAATTTACTCTTAACTTCCTTCTAAAGATGTCTATATCATTTATTTTTCCAATCTACTTTGTTTTGCTTTATTTATGGTCCTATAAAGTAAGTAGAAGTCACCTTTCTAAAAAGGCAGTATTGGTACCTTTTGGTTTTAGTACCCTTTTGACTATTAACTATATTTCTAAGATAATTTTTTCTAATACTTTGAACTAAAATCTCCTACATTATAATAAGTTCCACACTCTTTCATCTATTAGTCGTATTACATCATGACAGTGGATTATCTGCAATTTACTTTGTGCTGCATTGAGGGCCTTTCCTACAGATCAATCATACCAATTGTTCTGGAGATGTAATTCTGTTGTAAAGATTTCTTTAATTTGTTGTTGGTACAGTATATGCATAGCCTTCCTTTTTCTTATAGTCTCTAGTATCTTACTTTCTAGAACTGCTTTGAATGCCTCAACTATTTTATGCATTCACATAGTATGTGGGTTGTGACGAATCGCCAATTTTCATGCTCCAATGAGGTTTGCTTTATCTTGTTCGGTGAAGAATTGACTTTTATCAAAGCGCAGTATTCTTGGTAATTTTGGTTCTTGTTATTTAAATTACAAATATATAAGAGTGTGGTCTAATATCAAAGTAACGGCTAACCAGATGCCGATTAGGCCACCTTTTGTTTGTAGCTTTGGTGTGATGTATGTGTGATGAATACATGTGGCTACGATTTGGGGTTGGAATCTCATCGTAGTTCAAGTATATTATTTATTATTGATGTGTTTGAATTCATCTATGTAGCATTGAAAAAATAAAATTTTAAAGTCACAACACATAGCAACAGTAAGGTTGCACACAAAGAGAGTATGGAGTAAGATAGCTCTGACTTCCAACACCCAATATTTATAGGTTTTGGTTGTTGCCTTAGAAGACCTCTTCTACTCTTTGACTTTTATATACATGATCCTAGGTCCTAGGATCCTTTGATATCTAACATATCTTGAGGGTATCCTATGGTTCTTGGATCCTTTGGCAGCTTACTAACCACAAAGGTATTGTATGCCAAACACTAATTACTCTTACCTAGTCTTTGGATATTCTATAATTCATACTTTATCCTCTTGATTTTGATTCTTCGTCCTTGACCTCGTCTTATATCCTTAGGATGCCTTTTCTATACACCAAGAATCAACCTTTAGACCATTAGCAACTTACATAAGGTAATATCTTCTACAAGATAACTTATTTTATTTTCATTTTTACTTCAACACTTCCACTTTGCTATTGGTCAAAAGACTTTTAATCCTAATGCCTTTGTCAATATGTGATGTCTATCCTTTACTAATGCCTTTGTTAACAAATTAACAAGCGTGTCTTTTGTTGCACAATACTTCATATCAATCACTCCCATTTCAATCTTCTTTCTTATAAAGTGATGTTGAATATCAATGTGCTTGGTCCTTGAATGATGCTTGGATTCTTTGCAAATGTAAGTCATCCTTGATTGTGACACTTCATTGAAGTTGCTTCTATTTACACATCTCTAATGTCTTCCAAAAGTTGTCTTAGCCATATTGCCTCTATTGCACCATGGCTTACTGCCATATATCTTACCTCTTTTGTTGACCTTGCAATTGTTGGTTGTCTTTTGGAATTCCATGAATTGCTCCTAATCCAATAAAGAATACATATTCTATTGTTGACCTTCTATCATTTGCATCTTCAGTCCAATGCACATCATAATAATCATGCATAGTAATATTATCACCTCCAAGACATAATTTGAAGTTTAAAATACCTTTTAAATATCTCATGATTCTTTTGATGGTTGTCCAATGGATTGGTCCAGTCTTTGACATGTGTTGACTCACAACACTCATCGCATATATAAGATCCATCCTTGTGCCAACCATTACATATATTAGTGAGCCCTGTGCTGCCTTATATGGAACACCTTGCATTTATCCTTTAACGTCAGCAAACTCTTCTTCCGTGAGCTTCATCAACTTCAAATTGGCTTTCAAAGGTGTTCCAATAGGCTTACATTCCTCCATATTGAATCATTTCAACACCTCTTCAATATACTTACTTTGACTCATTGTAATGGTCTTCTTAGTACAATCTCTCACAAAATCCACTTCTAAACAATAAATGTATGCACATATAAATTAGTAAACAATACGCATACTCATATAAACTAGTAATTATTTGTATAAATAAGTAGAAGTAGAAGTAGATAAAAGTAAGTTAATTCTATAAAATCTTCTATAGAAGCTTCGTAGAAGCTGCATAGATACTACTTTGACTTTATAGGTGTCTTTAATTGACTTTTTGGATTAAAAACGTGGTTAATAAGTTGGCCATGTGCCACACATGTTGTTAACTTAAAGACCAAGCTAACTATGTGGCCTATACGTAGAATAACTAGCCTTATAAATCAAGGCATGTATCTTACATAGTCAACACATATTGCATGTCCTATAGAACATCGCCATGTAGCCCCTAGTTAGATAGTATATATAGAGATAAGAGTGAAGCCTTCTTCATTCTTGTCAATTCTTTTCTTGCTTCTAGTCTAATTTCAAGAGTCTCAAATTTTCTTGTCTTTTGGCAATAAGCCTTTCTAATTTCTTTTAATATACATACTTCTTTATTTCTATTTTGCTACTCTTTCTTTGATATGGATTTTATTGGTTTATGAATCATTTTTTAGTTCATGTCCTTGAAAGAATTCTAGAATGCCCTCTGTGTGAGTAAACTAGTGATTTCACTCTTTGATCAACCTCAACTTCACTTATAAGACTTGTCACAAGTCTTACACACTATCAAAACCTCTCTTATAAGCTTTGCCATTCTTTTATCACCTCTAATGTCTCATTACACTTCTTTTGTCTATAAGAAGATCTATTAGGAACTTAAGCTCATGAAAGTTCAATATTAGTATATCAATGACATATGTCAGCAAGAAACACACTACTAGTATTCTAAAACAACATTCTAAAATGTATAACAATCTCCAAGATCATGAATGTACTTAATAACAAGAGCATAACTACATTAACAACTAGATTCAAAAAAAGATTAAGAAGATGCAAAACTCTAACATCAGCATCAACCATAAGATCTACTCCTCAATACAATAAAAAAAACTTTAAATAACTTCAAAACTCACAACTAAAGATAAATGGGTCCATAACCTATTGAAAAAATAGAACTTTGAAGTCACAACACATAGCATCAACAAGATTGTATACAAAGAGAGCATGGAGTAAGATATCTCTCACTTCCAATAGCCAATATTTATTGGTTGTGGTTGCTACCCTACAAGACCTCTTCTACTCTTTGACTTTTATATACATGATCATAGGTCTTAGGATCCTTTGATATCTAACATATCTTGAGGGTATCCTATGGTTCTTGGATCCTTTGGCATCTTACTAATCACAAAGGTATTCTATGCCAAACACTAATTACTCTTACATTATTTATGGATATTCTCTAGTTCATACTTTATCCTCTTGACTTTGACTCTTGGTCCTTGACCTCGTCTTATATCCTTAGGATGTCCTTTCTATACACCAAGAGTCAACCCTTTGATCATTAGCAACTTACGTAAGATAATATCCTCTACAAGGTAACTTATTTTACTTTCACTTTTACTTCAATATGTAGAATGTGTCTTATATCCCCATTTAAATGAGTAAGTTGGACCTAGCTTCGATTTCACAAGTGCTTCTATTTATAGTGGGGCATCCTTCATGTTTGTCTGTAATCTCTTCCATGGAGTTGAAATCACCTATGACAATCCAATGGGCATGGTGTTGAAATCACATATGATAATCCAATTGGCATGGAGTTGAAATCACCTATGACAATGCAGTTGGCATGAGGGAGGGAGTAGTTGGTTATGGTCTGCCATAATCTTGCTCTAGGTCCAGTGTAGCTGTCTCCATAAATGCTGAGGATTCCTATTTTCTCTGCTTTTGCAGTTAGATAGGTGAGGAATTGTGCTTGTCCTCTAACTATTATCCAGTGTTAGCAGATGTTGGCTATTTTTTTTGAGATGAGCATTTCTGTTCCTCCATCGTAGCTGTCTTCGTATGCAGAATATGTACTTTCGTTCCATAAGATGGTTCTTTTAAGGAAGTCCAATTGTTCGGTTTTTCCTAAGCTATCTTCTAATGGTAATCTTGTTTCTTGTAGGAGGACTATGTTGGGTTGTGGTTGAATGTTTCAAAATAGATCTCTAATTTCTCGGCATTTGCGAGTGCCTTCCAGTTCTCTTCCGAGGCACTGTACATTGTATGATGCTATTGTGATCGATTCAGACATCTATGTATGTCTGTGCTGCTTGCGTGGCCTCGAGTATAGATCCAACCGTCATAGTGGGGCGTGGGCTAGAGTTTGGGTAGTCAACAGAGAGAGACTTTGGTTTCAGGATGAGGTCTAGGTGTTTGTGCCAGTCTGTCGGGAGGGAGCTTTGTAAACTCTGCAATAGTGGTAACTCGAGATCTAGCTCTGTTGAAATTTCGAGTCTTTTCTACCGTGTCGTGTTGGGATGCTTGATTTTGGTTACTTCCGAGTTATATGAGATTAGCGAGTACCATTCCATACTTGGGTCGTTGTTGTTTTTTGGTGGGCTCGGGAGCCATATTGCATCGGACCGTTGTCTCATTGGATTGCTTCCACTGTTCCGGTTGATTACTTGCGCAAGGCTTGCATTGCAGTGTTCGTCATATGGAGTCGGGCACCTGCTTGAGACCACTGTGACTCTCCTTCTGTGTGTTGGATGTCCACAGTACAGAGGTGCGTTTCACATTTTGTTTGTGATGTTATAAGGATCTCTACCGAGTGGTCTGTTGATGCTCGACTTAAGATAGGTGTAATACTGCCTCTCTTGGGAATCGTCCCCATATCTTATGTTCCTAGTGCGGTCCAAAAGCTGGGGTGGACGTTGTTGGTGTTGTATCCAATTTTGGTCTGTAATGGCTCTTTGGGTATGGGTGTGGTCGATAGTTTCTTTTCCTGCCATATAAATCTTGGTCGGGGTCTTTTGGATGTTCTGTCTTCATGAGGGCTAGTTGGGGTGTTTTGACGAGGTCGGTTGTCCCTGGACTCGGCTGTGTCTACTCACTCTGGGTTGTGGGCTTTGGTCAGTCTTGCTTGTTTATGTTCCTTAGCTGGTTTTGGAATGGGGCAGTTACGAACCTGGTGTGTAGTGCTTCTGCATCGATTGCATTGGGTGGGCAGCCCGTTGTATTCAAGGTAGTATTCTGTTTGGTTTCCGTCATGTAGGTTAGGAATGCTTACTTTGGATGGTAAGCTGTTGATGTCCTTAACCATGATGCGTACTCGGGGACCTGCTGCTTTCTCCCGGTACTGGTTTTCTGTGTCAATCCATATGACTTCCGCGAATTGGTTGACAATTTCTGCTAAAATTTGTGGTGTGCGCAGTAGAGTGGGGAGGCCATGGATTTGTGCCCATGCTGGATGGGCCAGTCGGGAATTTGGGTCTGTGCCAGCTCTGGGGTTGAAGTTGGAGCGCCACGGAGTGAAGCAAACTTCTGTTTGATTGATGTAGTGCTGTCTGGCAAGGGCGTGTGTTCGACCCTCTTCTTCCGCAAAGAATATTTCGAAGAAGCCTCCTCCTAACATGGAGAGTGATTGGAATGATCCATGGAGGGATTTTTGGGCCCACTCTCTCAGTATTTGCGGTCCAGGGTTGCGGGGGACATGTCCAATTAGGGCTTTGCGACTCATACGATTGGCCCTGTCTTGTAGTTCCTGTAGGGTGGTGTGGGATAGAGTAATTGTCTTGACCTTGTTTTGGTTTGATTTGTAGCCTCCTAGCTCTTGGGGTGTGATTCCACAGATAGATAGTAAGGAGTCTGCATCTGGCGTTAGCTTACTTAGGATGTTCCTTAGCTCTCCCCCCACTGTCGCCCGGTGGGTTAGCCCAAGTTGTGGGTTGGCTTGTATGAATTGCTCAGTATCTTCGTAGCGTGAATGTAGGAGTTGTTTGAGGTTTCTGAGGGCTTGAACCGCAAAGTTGTTCAGTATTGTTACCATATCTTCACTTGCAGTTGTCGCCTCTGGGATGTGGGCACTGCTATTGGTAAGCGGGGTATGTGATGTAGTTGTTTTGGAGGAGTAGAATGTGGCTGTTCAGCGATTAGATGGCCGTCTGCTGCGTGTTGTGTCACATCCATGAGGAGTGTCCGTTATCTGCGTTTGATCCTCTCTACCATAAACATTTTGTGTTACCGTCTGCTCCGTCCCTTGTGGCCTAATCTCATTCACATATGGCCGTGTGAGGTCCTTGTTGTATAATTTGCGACGTCTTGTGGTTGTGTCATCTGAGTTTGTGTCTGAGAAGCAAAGTGCCTAGACTTGGAAACTGCCCATTGATGCCCTTGCTGTTGTTCCCGGGCTGCTGTATCTGTCTTCCGTGCTGTTACAGTCCACTAGGGGTTGCGGAGAGCTGACCTGATGAGTCGCGACCTCCGGCTGGGGTTGTTCTTTGCTTTGTTGGTCCTTTGTGGGTTCCTCTCCCGCTGGCGCTTCATTCTTTTCGCGGTCAATGTTGTGTTCACCTTCCCGCTGTGATGTCTCCGCAGCTTTTTCAGGGTGGGGTTGGTCGCTGTGTTCTAAATCTATTATGTGAATCCCTCCTGGTGGTGCTGCTAAGGTCGTCTGTGTTCTAGTCTGGTTGATTTTTCTTTTTGGTGTCGACACTCTACCATCTGCGCTACGTCCCTAGCACGGTGAAGGGCTGAACGCCATCTGTTGATCTCTTATTTTGTGACATAAGTGTAATCTTCTAACTTTGTTCTCTTCTCTACTCGTCACCCAGTTCTGTTTTATGCTCGTATTTCTTGTTGCTTACTGTCCTTCGAAATACCTTACTCACTGAAAACTGTATGGAGATGAACCAATCTTGATTGGAAACTTAGCAACAATGAACTCAATTTCCATCAAGGCATTAATAAATGTATATCTCTCTCTCTCTCTCTCTCTCTCTATTTATATCCATGCATTCATTGACGCTCCACTGTGTCTTTTGAATTGAACCTATTCCACAAGTTCATATTCCAAATCAATTAATTATGAAAAATAAAATGCTCAGCTGCAATGTTAGTACCTCAGTGATCCCCCACCTAAGCTTGATAATTGCACACACTGTAGGAGATCAATATAAATACAAACTCACATGTTTTAAAGTGTTCTCTGAATCAGTGACTTGTTTTCTTCGTATTAATTACATAGTTAATGCTATAATTATGTGATACTTTAGCATTCATGGTTTGACTTTCTTTTTACCGTAACACGCCAATAATACATACAAATTATGAGCATCTCAAGTAGGCAAGAATTAATAACCACAGTCTGTTTTTTGAATATTTGTTTTTGGATATTAAAATTCTTAATCCTATCTTGAAGTAATTTAACCAATTATTTTGACCTGGTATCTTACTTTGTCAAGGTAATTTGTTTCAAATTTTTAAACTCAACTTGTGGATTTATCACTTGGATTGTGGGACAAGGTTGCAAGGATGAGTCTTGATTTTACAGCTTCGGGATCTTGCAATCATCTTGTTTGTAGGGATAGCAGTTCAAGTGAGAGAATCCCCTACGAATGCAGCTCAAGCATGAGATTTTCATACCGTTATGGAAGTTTTGAGTTACTTTAAGCTTATCGTGCTTTAATCTCGTTCATACCGCAATTTACCAACATGATGCATGTATTGAATTTCACAATTTGGATGCCCTTCTGAAGTTCTTATGATTGCGGGATGTATCAATTCGTGGTTGTGGGTACTGGGATGAGTTAGGGTTTTTCTTGTGTCCAAGGTAGGATTCCATCATCCGCATGCGTATCGAGTGTGGGATTTTGGGAGGTTTACAGGGTTGCAACATGGGTTGATCGTTGTATGTGCGCTTCTCGGACTCCGCAGATTAAACCGTTTTTCTCTTTAATTTTGATGGTCTTTCGGTGTGGAATGCTTGCAATATCAGGATGTGCACACCTCATTTGTTTGTAGGGTTTTGGTTGACGATGCTATGTTGTGTAATACCACTTTTTGATGTCTTTGACGGTCCTCTTTTGGTAAGTTCATCAATCCCTTAAAGAAATGTGAATTGTGTCTTACTTGCATGCAGTTTTGCGTTGTGAAAGTGTTGCAATCTTCAGCTGCCGTGATCATCGAACCAGCAGGATGTAATCTTTGTTCGCTCGACGTGGCTAGAGTCCATGAAAATGCGAATAAATTGTGGAACGTAATGGACATGAGGTTCCACTACATATATGTAAACCGTAATTTCTTAAATTATAGTAGGTTGAGTACTGTACAAGTCAATGATCATTTGGTTGACAGCCGAAACCAACAATGAATTTATGTAAGTGATACGGTTACGTGAGTATCATTTTTATGACTTTAGCTAATAAAGCCAGAATTGAAAGATTGTTCATCAATCATTCAAGTGCAATAAGAAGCCAGTCGATTTCGAAGCTATCTGATGGCAGATTAACCATTCACTGTTTGACACCTTGTCAAAACTCAGATTTAAAATGAAGCCTTGAATACATGAACCAATCCTTGTACAAGGATCTGCAATATCTTCCTCGGCCTCCAAATTCTACAGGCTGTACCTTGTACATGAAATAAATTTGTGTAACTGGATAGCACAACTATGGACCTTTGAGAGAACAACCAGTGGTTTTTGTGATGCTTGTTGAAATTACCTAACTCACATTACTACAAATATCTTCACCTAGACGTTGACTCAATAGTCTGATGACGATCTTAAGGTCCAATGCATCAACCTATTGCGAGATGCAGGATGATCAACATGTGAGTATTAATGACACTGAAAAATTCAAGTTCATAAAAACAAGGATAATCATAACGAGCCAAGGTAATTCACTGAACAAGTGACAACGCTTTGCATTGAATGTGTTCTTACGACATCTAAATAAAGAAAAAGCTACAAACAATTTGAGCCAAGCATTAACTGACAAGGCTGAGGAAGCATTGCGAGACAATAGCTATGTCTGTCCAGTCTGATAGAGTAGTATGCAACAATGCATCTTGCACCAAGGAACTCACCAAGAAAGAAATGCTGTAACGTAAATTAAAAACGTCCATGATCTGGAAATACTACATCATCTAGGGTAACGTTAGGACTACTTCAACGACCTGGCCAACCAATACCTCGATCAATGCTATAGATAACTAGAGAATACTCCACTCGACAACACTGGTAGCTTCCTTTTGTAAAGCCTTCAGCTCCACCATCAGCTCGTTTCACGCATTAACTTTGTTAATAAGGAATCAAAATTAACATTTCACAAATTTGGCATGAATCCTACAGAAACCCAACCAGTGCAGCTACTTAACGTTATGGAATTCTGTCTATACCTCTTTAATAACACTAGATATTTCAATCCCTGTGCAACTGCAAACACGACATGTAGACGTGCAGTTGGATGGGCTCAATTACTACTAAATAAGAAGGATTTCCCAGTCATGTTGGTCAAGTTGATTTAGGGCTAAGATTTCTAAGCGGCACGCTTGCTTCCTCGACACGGAAGAGATCGCAACTTTAAATGAAAGAGCTCCTGAGAGCCAATATACATTGACGAGTTTTTAAGTGTACAATTACTACTAAATTACTAGATTACTAAAGCTTTCAATTACTACTAAATAAGAAAGAATTCCCGCTCCCGTGCATCAAAAAATTGCAAAAACCCACAATACGAAGAACCCTACTACACTTCGTCTGAATCCTCTTCATTCGATGTCCCCTCACGCATTCAAACAGCCTGAATCCTTGTCCTATTTCACCTCATTTCACGCAAACAGTCAAGGATCTACAACCCCCACTGGTGAGACAATGAAGAAAACGAGTTTTGATCTGGCTGCAAGCTACATCGTCCACTGAGGATCACCATACGGCACCGAAGACGGCATCTGCAAGTCCTGGACCAAACATGCTCCATAGATTCTGCAATCCCATTCATGAAGGTATCTCCTACCTTAATTGTACCTGTTTGGTAACAATCAAGGAAGAATATGCTGATGGACTGCCTCGCCGAGGGCTGACGCTGGCAGCGATTTCTGTGCCTCCAGACAAGAGTATGTGAGTTTCGTATGAAGCGCCATTCCAATGAATCTAATTGCTTGACTGGATCGAGATTCGCGGCGTCGGAATTTTAACCAAAAGACAATTAAAAAAAACTCAGAATTGATACTGCATTATTTTTAAAAAATGTTTCACTGTGTAGCTAGTTTACACCACGTTTTTGTTTTACGTGACAGGTAGAATCTGATAATGTGATTTACATGAAAGGGTTACTATTGAGAAGATAACTTTTAGTAAGATTTGAAACAGTCTTATTTTCATGGAACTCTAAATCCAACTGTAACAAGCGAAGTTCATGTGTTTCCTCTTTTTCAAATATTCCATAGCCCTCTTACTTTTGAACCAATTCCAGTTCATTCCCATGACTGTAGAATGCATACAACAAATATGTTCTCTGAGAATTCAAAACTGCAAGTCAAAAATATCCCATTCAAGTATGATTCTAATCTGAAGATCTGTGTTTCCATTTGAAACATAAAGTGTCATTGAGGTAGGGATATGTACGACGCATCAAGTAATTCTGAAGGGACATTGAAACGGCCATCAAGCCAGCCCCACCCAACCCACATTGCACGATCGACAATGCACAATGTCTGATCCTGATCCACGATCTACAGTGCACGCAATCCACGGACTAGGTACGCATATCTAAATACTAGTTTGCTCTCTGGACTGCGATGGTGATGTTGAGGAAGTTCAGTGCGAATTTCGGCGATCGCCTTCACTGGAATCTTCTCTATAAATCCGATGGTTGCTTGCTGGTCGGGGAATTGCCCAGGTGGGGCTCACCACACGCAACGGCGGTATAGAAATAGCTCTTGCAATGCCCGCGTGCCATTAGCGGTCAACTGATTGCTGGCCGCTGCTATTGACTGCTAGCTTACGAATCACAGCTTCCTGCAGCTTGGTATCAACGCACACCTCCGTGGCGCAGTGTTGCTTCATGGGGTCGATACCTCGGCGTCGCGAGTTCCTCTGCGGGTTTGACTTCGTGGTAGATGGACGTTGCTGATGAGTTCTACGCGCTTGATCTCTTGAGTTCTGTCGAAGGTTTTACTCGTTGTTGACTTGGAGGTGAGGTTAAGTCATTGATCGGAGCGGGGGTGTAGTGTAATTGAAGGTGGCGTTTGGATCAAGTTTGTCAAGAATGTTGCAGCTGTCCGAGTTTCTGTGACGTCAACGACAACTTTATTGGGATATGAAATAGAAGCCAGTCATGAAGGAGGGATTAGTTATTGAGGGACCCGGGAAGGATCCGTTTCTGCCAACACGATTTGAGAACCATTTCTCGTCATTCTCCTCGGTTCCACCGCTCTCGCCGCCGTTGTCACCCAATTTCGGCATCAAACATTCGTCTCGGTGTTTCAAATCGCCAAAAAATCCTGGAACTCCGCGAACACCGTACTTAGGGATAAGGCCCGAAGTGATGGCAATAGATCAGCCATCCGGCAATCGAGGCAAACGACTTACAATCCTTAGCTTAGATGGTGGCGGAGTGCGAGGAATCATTCCTGCAACAATTCTTGAAGAACTTGAAGGCTATCTGCAGGTTCAATCTCATACCAGAAGCTTGCGTATTCAGGGGGTTTTCCCAGCACACAGGGTCTTTGAAAATTCTCCAGTGTTAGTTCAGGTGCACATCGTCGAATCGATATTAATGAAATCCAGAATCGTTAGACTTGAATCTAATTTTCTCTGTCGTGCATCACGATTTGAAAAGTTTTGTTTATGAGTTGTTACATCGCATTTAGATATATGATTAGAATCTCTTCGCCACACAGCGTGCTGTCGATCAACGATATGGGTATGGGTTGCAATGATCGAATCCTCTGACAGGACCACGTTCTAGCATCTCTCTTCGTTTTTAGAGTGATCTTAGATACGATCCAGTACTGCAGAGTCCTTTGTCACTGGAATTCATTCGTCCTATGTAACCACCTCCTCACTAGACAATAGAATTGGAAACGTGTGTGACTCAAACGACAAATTCCAATGCTGTTTGCTGGATTTTCCAGGGGTTGGACGGTTCAGAGGTGCGCATCGTGGACTATTTTGATTTAATAGCTGGAACTAGCACAGGAGGGTTGATCACAGCGATGCTCGCTGCTCCCAGTCGTGACAACCCGAAACGGCCAATGTTCGACGCGTCTCAGATCACTCAATTTTACAGGGAAAATGCTAACAAGATTTTTCAGAAATCAAGGTACTACCCCTCAGCATCTGAGGTTTAGTCCGTGACCTAGAACGCTGGATTCACAACCCACGCTATCGTTTGTTTCCAAAGAGATATGAGACATGCTCTTCACGTGTTTGGAAATGGTTCTTTAACAACTGTCTGATAGGCTTGGACTTTGACTTCAATTGTTAACAGTTGCGACATTCGTGTTTTTCGTGCGTCTGTTCTGGGCAGGGGTCCTTTTGGAACTTTCCGTAAAAACTTGAAATCTCTAGCCGGGCCGAAATATAAAGCGGAAGGGCTGGAGGATCTTTTATTACAATATTTGGACGATGACATTTTCCTGAGTGACATGCTCACACCCGTTATCATCCCCGCATTTGACATCAAGCTTCAACAACCAGTTTTCTTCTCGTCATCGAAGGTAGGACCGTCTTTCAATGCTTTTGTAATCCTTTCAAGCGAACTTACAAGATATGAGCCGATCCTGCGGCAAGGGAGACTATCTTTCTGAGCACGCTATCTCTATGGACATGATAGATGTGCCTTAGATTGCCCTGCTGCAGCACTTGTGTTTTAGGGTTGGGTCTGGCTATTCACGGCATGTTTTTTTTATGTCATGCACGTTTTCTGTTTCTTTCAGGCGAAAACCGATGTGCTCGAAAATGCACCATTGCTGCAAGTTTGCCGTTCCACGACAGCCGCACCGACGTATTTTCCTCCTGCCAGATTTACTCTCATTGATAAAACTCAGGAGCCGAATCGTATTAGGGAGTTCAACATGATTGATGGCGGCATCGCTGTGAATAACCCGGTACGTCTCTGAATTGGCCCCCACCGTACTCAAGAATTACGTGTAGTGCACACAACATTCCTACGAGTGCTTTCTTCGTAGTTTGGACTGGACCCAGTTGTATATACTTCATAAGTAAACGATCTATCTATGTAGCGTTCTCGACAACAAACTGGGTCATGCAATCGAATCCTTTACCTGCAATGTCTAACACATTGCTATTCATCTGTGGCTAGACATATGTGGCGATCACTCAGGCCATTAAAGAATTGAGGAGTGGAGGACTGTGTTCCGATCGGGTTGACTACTACGTAAGTCCTCATAAACACATTATTTTCCTTGATCTGCTAAGCTTCGCACGTTCAGGACATAAGTGTCGAATACTTTACGCCTTGTGAGTGATAATCTGCGGCAACCGCAAATTTGCTAGTCAAGAGATGAAAACCTTCGGTGGACTGATACATCGGCTGTCAAGTTTGAAATTAATTGATTGAATGAGGTTCTGATTTGCTGTGATAGGGCTACGACGACCTATTGATTTTGTCGTTGGGTACGGGAAGTCAAGTTCACAGTTACGACGCAGAGGAAGTTGCGAAATGGGGTGTAGTAGATTGGATGGTGCATGATGGAGAAACTCCACTGGTTGATATGGTGTTCAATGCTAGTTCAGATATGGTCGACTACAACCTCAGTATTATTTTCGAATCCCAAGATTCATCCAAGAACTACTTACGAATAACGGTAAGAATGATTGGAAGTTTTATAATTCCATTTGCATGACTAGGTCGAATGAAACTTACCACATTTCTCACTGCCCAAGCAATTCATTTTCTTCATGTCTGAATGGATGCAGACAGATTCTCTAGAAAGATCTGCGGTGAAACTCGACGACGCGTCAAAGTCCAATATGGACAAGCTGGTAAAAACTGCGCAGAAACTGTTGGAGAATCCGGTTGCACAGCGAGACTTCAACACGGGAGAGCTTGTGCCCATCGAGACTGGTGAAACAAATCGGCAAGCACTACGAAGGTGAATGATCACACTTTCATGGAAATCTTTGCACAAGAAATTGTAAAAAATCATGTAGATAGGAAGCATGAACTTCTGTTTGTGCCCAATTCGATTCCTCACATGTCTCATTGATCATCCACGACAGATTCGCAGAATTCCTGTCACAAGAACGGAAGGCACGATTTCCTGCAAAACCAAATGCTAAATCTCACTCCAAGCAGCAACAGAAAGCTACTTCACAGCCTGCAAGGGACCACTCACCGACGGAGTTTGCACCTAGACTCGTGCCAACGCTGGACTCACCCCCGAAGTCGAATCTAAATCTTAAAACCGCCATGGAGTTCGTGATGGAGAGCCACTTCGAGAGGCGAGACCGGGCCCTTGCCACTTTCCCTTCCCACCCATCTCAAGCACTCTTCGACAACCCCTTCGAGACTTCACGCAGCAGCCATGGCTCCACTACCGCTGCACCCGAAACCTCTTACATGGAGCCCCCGTATTATTCTTACGCCCACCCACAGCTGCAATCTGACTACTCTCAAAGACTGCAAAACTCACCGCCATTCCTCATGTCCTCAGAATCGTGGTCTTCATCTCGATACCCAGACCGCGACGAATCTGACCGCGGCTCTCTAATCTACTACGATCATAGCTCCAGGGTGCATTCTTACAGTTCCCGATCTAGCGGCCCCTCACCGTTTCTGGATTATTTCAACATATTCACGTAGGTCGGCGATGTTTGAGTCCCGCCTCGTCTGTATCATGTGATTCTTTAATTTTTTTTGTATGATTTTTTTTTCAGAGTAGCGCGCCGTCAACCAGAACAGCGTGAAATTGTGTAGCTAGGGCGGAATTGCAACCCTTAAACTGTATATAATTCTTTTTGAATTGATGATTTAAAAAAATTTGTGGCACTCATCAGCCTTCCTCGCTGGCTCCTCGTGGTACACGGCAGTGCACACTCTGACGTTGTTTTATTTATTTATTTGTTTGAATTCTCATATCGACTTGTTGCTTTGGGAATGTCGCTTTAATCCTCACGCTTTTGTTGCTAGAATGCCGTGCCGTTCCATTGGATAACTATGTTCATCCGTTTTGATTTGGATGCTTATCATTCATCTATTCGGATGATTATTGGAGATGGGGACATTAACGCTGTTCATCCTCGGCCTTGACGATGTCGTTCATCTGTTTTGGATGATGATTTGTGATGAGGCAATGCAGGAAGCGCTTGTTTGGTGTTTGCAAGTTTATCAAGAAATATGATGCAATGGAAGATGAATGATATGACTGTGCTTCAATCGATGTAGTGAAAGGCAGCATATTTTACACAATGTGAAGGTGATATCTAAGCTAAGAGACTAATAAAATTTCCTTTAGAAAATGAGTAGTTTAGATATGAGGATTTGGGCAAAATAATAGATTTGTATGTTTATTCCACAATAGTGGGTATTTTGGATAGGATATCTTGGACACTGATAAAAGATGCATGGATTTTAATGACAATAAAATTTCTAAAAAAATGATTGCAAGTTAAAGTATTTTTCAAGTATTTATAATTTTTGAGATTTATTGGATCAATATTATTAAAACCTTATTTGAGTAAAATTTAAATAAATATTTCAATAAGGCAATGCATAGTAAAAATTTAAGATCTATTTTTTTTTTTTTTTAATTTTTTAATTTTCATGTCATCTCAATTTCAAGTAAAAGAAGATTTAAAAATAACAATATATGGAAATAGAACCCTGATATGAATTGAGAAAGAGATTGAATTCAAACACAATGTTGGTTTTTTTTTAAATATTGTCTTGGATAATTTTTTAGTAAATATATTAGCATGCTGACCTACAGTAGGTACATATTGCAATTTAAATTCACTTTTTAAAATCTATTTATATATAAAATGATGTTTCACTTAAATATGTTTAATATATGTATGCAAGATGGGATTTTTGGCAAGAAAAATGGACACCTATTTATTGCAATGAAGGTGTAAGTCTAAGTTTGTAGAAATGAGTGTCTCAGATTAATTTGTCTTAATTTTCTCACTTGCAGAATTAATTGGTACTATTTGAGAAGCTTAATCAATAAATTCTTATAACAATTGGCAAAGATAGACAATTTCAGTTGTTTCTTTAGACAAAGTTTTATTTTTTGCCTCCACAATAGAGTAAAAATAAAATTCTTTATCTTATATTAGACCAAATAATTGGATCAAAAGCTAGTTAAAAAATATATCAACATATGTACCATCTAGTCTCATGACTACTTATGTTGTATATTCATTGGAAGGGTAGCCTACTTTTATAGTTCGTCATCTTGTATTTTATAAATATTTAGTTTATTTAACCTTGTTAATAAAAAAAACATATACCAACTTTAATCTAAAATATCCTACATAAAGATACTTCTTAATTTCACCTAGATTCTTTGTTTCATACTTATTATAAAGTGAATAATTTACTTTTGGAATCTTCTTATTAATATATCTATTAAGAAGAAGATTGTTAATATAAAATAACAAAATGACAATAGATAAGGCCTTATGAGAATATTATATATTTGAATTAAAGTCAATATTAATTCAATTAATACTTCTAAGATAAGAATCAACTTCTTGATATTAAGTCTTTAGGCAATTTCTTCAAAATATAGATAAAATCTTCAAGTATTTGCTTTATAAAATTATGTGATTATTGCATATATAAGAATTCTAGTAAGATACTATTTAAAAACATAATTATGGGTCATTGGCCAACCTTAACAAACAACAAGAGAAATATTGGCTTAAAAGTATAAACCACCTAATCAATGAGACAAATGTGCCATTATAATCAATTTTCTCATGATTCTCTAATATTTTTGCTAGAAGCCTTATTTTTAGTAAAATAAAATTTGGATCATTTAGATAGAAGATGAAATTTTGATTTAAAGATCTATTCCAAAAAAAACAACACATCAATGCAGTAGAAATTCAATTACTTCTTAAGCATTGTTTTTAATTAGTGAATTAATTTTTTTTTATAATATAATAAACTATCAAAGATAAGAACTTGATGAAAATAAATAAATAAATAAGATTTTTTTCAAAAGAAGATTAATAAAATTAAAAAGAAACTAGAATGGCTATTGCCAAAAGATAAGAAATATAGAAGCCCTTGAAATTAGAAAAGAAATAAAGAAGGAATTGATAAGAATGAAGAAAGCTTTATTCTTACTTCTATATATACTATCTAACTAAGAGTTCTATGGCAACATTCTATAGGACCTTTGATATGTGTTTAATTTGCGAGACATATGTTTTAACTTACAAGGCAAGTTTCTTATATGTGCGCTACATGGTTAACTTGTATTATAAGATACCAACACATGTGACACATGGCTAACTTGTTGGCCAAGTATTTGTCTTAGTAATGGCCTATAGATATATATAAAAAAGAAATTGTATCTATGAAGCTTCTAGGAAGCTATTCTATATGATATTATCAAATTAATCTATTTTTATTTATTTCTATCTATTCATATTATCTAGATAATTATGAAAGTAAATATGTATGTTTGTGATATTATTCTTCCTTTGAAGGGACGATTTTTAAAAGGAGCAATGATTTCATGTTGAAAAAGTCCATCAAATTATATTTGTTACATACCTTAATCTTTGTTTCCTTTGAAGGTAGATGATAGGTCTCTTTAGCCATCAATAATGTTTCATTTTAAGATAGAAAGACTACTTTGATATTTAATCATTATTAAGGCCATTGTAACTTCTTTCAAATAAAATATTTGTAATATAATCAAGAGTCATTTTTACCCCTAATAAAATCATCAAACATTGAGAGTTTCTTTCAAGTTCATGATATCAAATGCATTATAACTTGTCATCTATTAAAAAAAAACATGTCGTTTTTGAAGGTCTTCATCTTTATTATATTATCTTGAAGATAAAGATAATTACAATATCTCATTTGATAAGTTAGCAAACAATAGATTTTGAGTTGAATGTGCTAGTATTATAGATATACATATAGTAACTCAATTTTTTTTTGCAATGTTGATATATTTTAGAAAGAATGATGTATTACAAATGAATTATAGTGAATAATGATATGTGGTTTTTACAGCAAATAAAGTACTCTTTTATACCTAAGAAATGAGCCTATGCTGAAAAGAATCCATCAGCTAATTAAAGAACTATGACCAATCCAATTTGAAACAATATTGAAATATTTTTTTGAATATGGTATCCAATTATATATTAATACTTTGTAGGATCTCCTTTGGCCTTAATAACTACCTCTAACCTCTTAGACATACTTTTTATTAACTTTTGGCACAAAATTGCTTCAATATTATTTCATATCGTAGCTATTTTTTTCTATAATTTCCAAACTCCCTTTTGTTTTATCTACTAGGTGTTGAGTTGGCATTTGAGGTGCTTCCAAAGATTTTCAATGGAATTAAAATCAAAAGACTGAGTAGGCTAATCCATTACTTTAATCCCATGATAATCAAATTACTTCTATGCTAGTTTTGGGTTATGCTTGAGATTGTTATCTTGCTGAAAAATCACCTCCTCTTCAAAAATACCAGATTCTTCAATGTTAGGAAGTAGATTTTTTTCAAGAATTTCCACGAATTGCTTAGCATCCATCTTCTTCTCAACCTTTGCCATCCTTCCAATTTTATTCCATCCCATACCATTATATTTCTACTCCCATGCTTAATTGTTTCTTGGATCTTCTTGTCAAGTGAGGACTAACTCTTTTATTTTTACACCCATTTTTTTGCCATTTAATCCAAATCTGTTGATTTTTGTTTCATCTGACTAAATAATCCTCTTCTAATCTTCTACAGTCCATTCTTTATACTTTAGAAGCAAAATCCAAGTATTATCTTTAATAGCAAATAGATAGTAGTGTTTTTTTTTTCTTCACCATGGCTTTCATATTCCACTTTTTGAAAATATTTTGAATGGTTTGGATTAACACAAGATTATTGATAATATTGTTAAGATTTTTAGCAACTTCAATAATATTTTCAGCTTTTTTAATGTTGATTTGGTAAATGATTGTCCTTTCATCTTCTAAATTAGCTTCTCTAATCTGTTTAATTTAAAGTTCTTCCTATTAAAAGTAATATTTTTTACCAGCTTAAAGATAGTAGCTTTATTATAGCCAAGTTTAGAAATAATTTGACTATAAGTTTTTTGAAAATGAAGAAGATTAGAGGTAAAGTTGTCTTAGAGAGAGCAAAGAATAGATCTTATAGTTTTTTAAGGAATTGTCAAGGATACAAGAATTTCATAAAGAAATATGTCAAGATTAAAGACAAAGAATGAAATTGATAGCAAAAGTGGTTCCAATGATTCCTATTTATATTATAATAAAGTTTTTAGAAGTCTATAGTATTTTCTATGGAAGTTTCTAAAAGTCTAAAGAAGCTTTTAAAAGCCTATAGAACTTTCTAAAAGTTTATGGAAGATTCTACAAGTATCTAAAAGGTTTTATAAATTTGTAAAAGATTCTAGAAGGTCCTATAATGTGGTAATTTAGAATATATCCCTGCTAGGAATTATAATTAAGAATGGCTACTAATAAGTATTAATGATGCCATTAGATTAGTGATAATATTATCATAATAAATTTGATGATGATAGAATGCTATAATATTGAGTAATTGATAGAATCCAAAATTAGACACCATACTTAAAAAATTATTTTAATACTATTCTAAAAATTATTTTAATACTATTGGTCATAGCTCTATAATTACCTAATAGATTTTCTTTAATCTAAGCTCAATTGGTAGCTATAAAGGACTTTTTTATTTGCTATATAAACCACGTGTCATTATTTACTATAATTCATTTGTAATATAAAATTCTTTTTAAAATATGTCAACATTGAAACAATTTTTTGATTCA